GCGCCTGGGCATCCAGCCCCAGCCCTCTCACTCGGGTCCGCCTTGGAAGGGGGGAGTCGGGGTCCCGGAAGCCCCATCGCATTCTTCTGCCGCCTTCGCTTCGTCTTCCTGCCCCGTCTCTGCCGGGCCTTTCCCCAAGCCTCTGCCCTCGCCGGAGCTGGCAGTGTCAAGGCTCCGCTGACCCCGCATCCTAAGGGTCAGGAAAGCAGCCTGGTCTCACCTCTCCACCCCCTCCTCTGGCTGGTCCAGGTTATGCCTCCTGTCTGGCTTCACAGTGACATCTAAGGAACACGCCACGTTTAAAACATGTGCAGAATCGATGACCTGGAATTTGAGCTCAGGACTGCAGAGGGACAAGCCTCTTCCATTCAAACAGTCCTCCCGGCACTCCCGCTGGGTCCACCTGGTCCTGAGCAGTTTCTGCTCCCTTAGGACCACCTACTGTGGCAGTGGGGACCCCTTTCTGCAGAAAGCGGAGATGTATTCACTACGCCGGATGGGAAACAGGTTACCAATCCAGAATCCCAGAATGCAGGTTTCAATTTCAAGAACTCTAGGACTGGAAGGGGAGAGCAGTGGGGTGCTCAGGAGGAGGGACCTGCTCCTTTCTGGGTGTCAGATGGAGGCACCCCCATCCTAGGCAAAAGTGAAGGGGCAGGGTCAAAACTCCCAGTCAGGCCCTCCCTGGTGGCACAGCAGGTTAAAACGCAGCACTGAGAAGCTCAAGCCACTGCAGCATGAGTTCGATCCCTGCCCCAGGTGACCACAGGGTGCAGCAGACCCCTCCTGACCCGCCCGCTGCTCCCCTCGGCAGTGGATTTTGTCAATCGGCCTGTTCTGCTCCCCACTCTGTCTCTAGTGAATCCTCTCACCACCCCCACACCTCTGGCCTGTACCCCAGTTCTGTATGCATCAATAAATAAATCTTTTTTAAAAATTAAAAAAAAAAACTCCCAGTCAGGTGAGGTCAGGCCTTCGGCCATGGCAGGATAGAGTGGTCAGCAGAGCCAGGTCCCAGGAAGCACAGAGGCAGAAGGAGCTGGAAAGTCTGAGAGGAAGGCGACACCCAGGCCTGCCCCTCTGGCCTCCTGCCCCTCTGGCCTCCTGCCCCTCTGGCCTCCTGCCCCGGCACCCACCCTCCTTGCCCTCTCGCCAGAGGCCAAGCCAAGACAGAGGTGCCTCTGAGAACTGACAGACTCCTACACAATCCAGCTCTCAGAACTTGAGAGCAATCCCTTTCCTTATCAACTGAAAAAGAATGGGCTGGGAACTACAAAAGAATTGCAAATTAGGATTAGCGCAAAAGAGCTCTAATTAGGAAATTAGAATTAGAGCTAGAGAACTTCCCAAATTAGGTAGGTATTTTAACCAAAGAGGAGGGAGAAAGGCAGGAGCTGGATTTCCAGAAGTGTCTCTGGCCACCTCTGGCCGGCTCAGGACAGACCTTCCTCGACCCCAGCCCCCGGTTCCTAACTTATTTAAGAAAAGGACAACTCATCAAAAGAAAAACCGTCCGTGGAGACCGGCTGGTCTAGACCCCTTCATTCAGCAGGGGGAAGCGCAGTCCAGACAAACTGAGGTCCAGCACGGACACAGTGGCCAGGCCGAGGCCAATCGCCTGGTCTTTTCCTAGCGCCCTTTCCATGTGTGGCTTTCTCTTTCCTCAGTCACCAGCCCTGGAGTTCTGCGTTCCTTTTGCTCTTTGTTGTCCAACTCCAGCCTCATCCCTGTCCTTGTGACGCAGCCCTGCTTCCGCCTGACTCTGTCTCTAAAGACACGTTGGAAGGGCGCGGGGGTCTGGGCGCTGTGGCCACCAGCCAGGAGGGGTGGCCTCTCCGTCTCCTCCGTGGCCCCCACCCCCGCCTCCCTCAAGGCTCCTTCTGCTCGAGCTCATTCCTCTCCTGTTCAACTTCTAAACTGCCCCTCGCCCCTCTGGCCCTCTGCCTCCTCACCCCCGAACCCCTCATCTCTTCCAACAGGCTTAGAGTTGGATGGAGCCCGAAGCCGGTGCTTTGGCAGCCGTGACGGATGGATGTAAGGATGGATGTGATCTCCTCCTACGGATGCTATTTAAAGGGGAGGCCTCGCAGTCCTCTCCTTCCAGAGTGACAAGAGAGGAACGGGCTCCTCCATCTCTCCAGAGCTGCAAACTCAGCTCAAGTTAACTTCTGACTTCCTCAGCCTGCACCCTGGCCTGCTGCTCCGGCTTCCTATTCAGGTGGGAGGGAGACCTGACAACTCACTGAGGTGTGGGGGCTGAGGGGGGGCTCATCTTCATTTCCTTTGATGACAGGTACTCGGGAGGAGCGGGAGGGAGGCCGGTGGGGAGGACTAGAGCACCCTCCCCACCCCAACCGCGTGAGTACATTCCAACCATGAGACTGCTTCTCCTCAAACTTTGC